CCTCCTAGACAGGTTTGCTGACAGCAACTCTGGGGGTTTCTCCTCTCCTTTTTCAAGGTGCCTCCAGGACACAGACTGGGTGCTTACAGATCAACATATTCTCAAGGTGCATTACCCCCAATTCGAAGTGTCAGAAGACTGCCTGTACCTTAACATCTATGCGCCGGCCCACGCGGACACTGGCTCCAAGCTCCCCGTAAGGCCACCTGCCATGCTGGGGGCTCCAGCTAGCAGGTCCCTGGGCTGGGGCCCAGGCAGAGTGGCTGGGTGTCTGGACTCAGACCTAGCCCCCTATTGGGTAAAAGGGAAATGTACTCACTTGACATGTCAATAACTTTCTTACAAAGTCCTTCTAATGACGGATTTACTTCATCTTGTTTTCTGATTGCTTCTTTATTGTCAATGACTGGAACTTTGCCTTGAATTTTGTTTTGTTTTTCCCCTCTGTTGAGTATTTAATGGTCTATAAACATTTAGAAAAGACACTGCTTAAAAGCACTCTGATTTGTTATTGTTGTTTGGGAAATCCTTTTTTTTTTAAAGATTTTTTTATTGGGGAATTGGGGAAGGGGAACAGCTAAGTTGTTGTGCTTCAATCTTAGTTGTGGAGGGTGCAGCTAGCTCAGCTCCAAGTCCAGTCGCCATCCAGCCACCTGTCGGCAGCTCGCGCCCGCTCAGCTCAAGGTGCTGTGTTCAATCTTAGTTGTGGGTGGGAGTAGCCCACCATCCCATGCGGGAGTTGAACCGGCAACCTTGTTGTTAGGAGCACGTGCTCTCACCAGCTGAACCATCCTGCCACCTGTTGGCAGCTCAGCTCGGATGCAGCTCGGATGCAGCTCACAGGCCCATGTGGGAATCGAACCGGCGACCCCATTGCTTAGAGCTTGCGCTCTTAACCAACTGAGCCACTCGGCCGGCCTGGGAAATCCTATATTAAAGAGGACAGTTGCATTCTCTAGTTTTTCAGTTTACAATGAAGACAGTCAGGTATTAATGTGAAGTGTATCATTTAAGTATGGAAAAGATTCCTGTATGAGTGAGTGGAAAAGGTACAGTCTACTATCCAATTTTTAACCACACCCTCCATCATTCTCTCCCCACCACCCATCCCCCTGCACCCCTGCAACGGGAGACTTGCTCCCTTGTATCATAGCAGCAGCATTTATCGTGTGCTGACGAGGTGCCAGGCACAGTGCGTTATCTCATCTAACCCCCACCATAACCCAGTGGGTAGGGATTACTGGATCCATTTTACAGATGAGGAAGATGGGGCACAGGGAGGGCATCAGTGATTTGCTCCACGCTCTACACACAGGAAGTGGAAGGCTTGGTGCCAGAGCCAATGCTTTGTCCACTTCTCCTTTTTCCTTGGTGACTTTCTTGTCTTTTCCTGCCCCAAGTGTTGTAGTCCCTAACCTGACCTTTAAAAAGAGAAAGGAAGGCATTTATTATTAAGTATGTAAAGAGTGATAGTACAATTTGAATAATGTTTTGTGTTCCCTGGTCCCAATTTTTCTAATCAATAAAGTTTCCACACTTGCTTTCCCTCTTTCACTCTTCTCTCTTCTCTTTCCTTTGTAGGTAGGCAAAAGCCTTACATTGAAACAGCTTAAGCTGCTTTTGCTCTCATGTATGGCCTACAATGATTTCCATCTTCCTGTGGCTCACAAGTTCCATGATATTTAGCTAATGCTTTCTGAGCTCTTGAAATGTGCCAACATTGTTCTATGAACCTTAGAGGCAGAATCTTGTTTAAACCTCATGATAAACTCATAAGTGAAATACTTTCATTCTTCACATCTTACAGGTGAGAAAAATGAGGCTCAGAGAGGTTAAGTAATCTGCCCAAGGTCACACAGCTAGTCAGTGGCAGAGCTCAGACTCAAACCCAGGCACTCAGATGCTAGAGTCCACCTGGTTAACCCTGGGCCTACTTCAAAAGACAAAATCTCAGATGCTATTTAGAAAGGAATGTGTGACATGTATATTTCCATAAAGAAGGAAGGCCCCAGCATGCATAGGGAGGGGATTTGCGTGCTTGGTGGGCTGACTGGAAGATTCCTCTCCCTTCCTTAGGTCATGGTGTGGATTCCTGGGGGTGCCTTCCAGACTGGCTCAGCCTCCGTCTTTGATGGGTCTGCCCTGGCTGCCTACGAGGATGTGCTGGTTGTGACAACCCAGTACCGGCTAGGAATACTTGGCTTCTTCAAGTGAGTGTCCCTGAGGGATTGACACCCCTGGTCTCCAAGGGGCAGTTATGCAGCAGCCATAGGGGATTCAGTGCCCGGCATCCCAAGGAGGAATGAGCCTTCAGTGAGTGACACTGAACAAATTTGACCCAAATTAGTTCGGTAATTTTAGCAACTATAACAGATAAACCCCAAAGCCTTAGTGGCTCAGAACAATAAAAATCTCTTCCTCACTCAAGTCCAGTCCAGCTGAGTGTTCCTCGCTGACAGACATCCTTCCACACGGTCCGTCGGGCACCCTCTGCACTTGGCCGCAGGTAGAGAAAGGGATTGGAGGGTCATGGAAGGAAGGTCTTTGCGGGTCAGCTTGGAGGTGGTGTTGTCACGCCTGTTCACATACCGTGGCGGAACTCAGTCTGATGGCCATCCCCAACACAAGGGAGACGGGAAATGCAGCCCAGCTGTGTGCCCTGGAAGGTGAGGACAGAGGGAGTGTGAGCAGCTGGTAGCCTCTGCCATCGGGCCCCACCTCGCGGCTCCTCAGATGCTCCTGAGAATAGTTATTCCGTTGCATTGGCTTCCCTCCCTATTAATTGTCCACCCATCCTGGGAAACGGGTCACACCACGGGCCCATGGCCAGGGGCATGGACTCTGGGGCCAGACTCACTGGGTTTGAATCCCAAATCTGCAACTTTTTAGGTCTTGGACAAAGAATTTACCTTCTCTGTGTCCCAGTGTCCATCTGTGAGAAGGAGCCGATGTATCCAGCAGTATCTTTAGGGCTTGCTCGCAGATTGCATTGAAGGGAAGTGGTGTGAGCTATGGCCTTGGAGAAATGCAGCCACTGCCCAAACCACTTCCCAGCAGAGAGGGCTATGGGTGGTAGAATGAATGTCCCAGTCTCTGGATATCGCACCCCCAAGCCCCTGGCTAGTGCCTCTCACTGATCGCACACAGTGGGAAGCCTGGGTGCTGCGGTTCACAGAGGTCAGACATTTGGGAGAAGGGTGGAGAAGGTGGAGATAAAACCCAGAGGGGCAAAGGGAGAAAAACAATCGCCACCTACCTCACAGGCTGGGAGGATTATAGGACAGTGTCATGCACGGTGCTGCCACTGCAGTTATTATCGTTGTTATTCATTTCGTCATTCCCTGGAACTTCTGTGCCCAGGGAGGTCTCGCTCCCTGCTGCAGACCAGCTCTCAGGAGCAGGGCTCTTCTGGAGTCCGTGGACTCACAGGCGCCTATGAATCCCCGGAAACTGCACATACAAGATTGTCTGTGCATTTTTCTGGGGTCTGTAGCTTTCCTCAGATTCTCAAACTCAAATCCCAGCAGAGCGGGAGAACTAAGGCTGGGTTTCCCCGCTGCCCCAGGTCTCCACCTCTCAGCCCTTCCCCCGCAGGAGTGGTGATGGGTGCCCTGACATCCGCTCACGGTCTCTGCCACCAATTCCCTGGGCTGCGGGAAGCACCCAGTGGGCCACTCAGCGTTCTGACCCCACCTCCTCCCCCAGCACAGGGGACCAGTACGCTCCTGGGAACTGGGCGTTCATGGACCAGCTGGCCGCCCTAACCTGGGTCCAGGAGAACATCGAGTCCTTTGGCGGGGACCCACGCTCTGTGACCATCTTCGGCGAGTCAGCGGGCGCCATCAGTGTATCCAGCATTGTGAGTTCTCCCCTTTGGGACATGAACGAACCTCCGTGAGGGAGGTTACAAAAATGAGGACAGTGAGCCACCTGATTGGTGCTTGATGTCGAACCAATACTTTTATACACATTATCGCCTCACACCTCATCACCTCACACTGTGAGTTAGGGGCTCAGTCCCATCTTAAGGATGAGGGCTGTCATCAGAGAGTTTCAATGAGTCGCCCAAGATCACATAGCGATAATTGGAAGAAAAATCATTTCAACTGGTAGGGCCAAGGCACTGGTATCAAATTCCCAAGACTGGTAATCACTTGTTTCATAGAAGAACTCAGCTAAAGCATCAAATAACAAAGGGTGCATGTAAACATTTCATTTTAACTAAACACATAACATGCACATTCCTTCACCAATGGTGTGATACACGGTCTTATCTTCTCAGAGTCGGCCTGCTGACTGGAGGTCCAGCCTGACTCTTGCCTAAACCACCCACAGAATTCATTGCCCTCCGATTGTGGTTTCAGTTTTTTTACAGTGAGCACGCACTTAAAGAGGCCTGCAAAGTAGCCTGTGCACACTTATACACTTATGGAGCTTTCTAGTCCTCCCCACCCCCACCCCACACATGATTGACTCTTATCTTGTTCACCCCCTAATTTCACAGCACTATTTTTTCACTATGTGCCTTTATCATGGATTTCTCCACCCCCCCACACACACATAATTTTGTTTTCTTTTGATGCACATACATTGGTTCCCATGATAGTTCATTGTTTATGTAATTACAATAGCAACTGGAACTGACACAACAGGTGTAGACACAAACACACCCAGCGCTTGACGAGAAATTGGTGGGAATAGAAAGGTACAGAGGTGATAGAAAGTGGCCCCCGGCCCTGGGTGGTCAGCATTTCCTGGGCATCAGTGAACATGTCGATCACAGGAATCAGTGCCATGGAGTCGGGTTAAGAGAGCTTCTGCTGTATAACACTTGACGATACACAAGGCATTGTTTTTTATCTTCAAAATAACCTTATGACTCAGCTTAACATGTATGATGACAGCCGCCATTTAATGAGTGCTTATTATTTGATGAAGCACTGTGCGAAGCCTTCTATACTCATTACTCCTTCTGCTCCTGAAAACACATCTGTGGCGTGGGCTCAGGTTTTACTCCAGTCTTATAGGAGAGCACGTTAATGCTTGGAAATATTGAGCAACTTGCCTGGGGTTACCCAGCTAGGCAGTAAAGGAGCTAGCACGCACATGCCAGAATGTTTGCCTTCCAAACAAACAAACCTGGGGCTCAGAGAGGTGAAATAATTAGCCCAAACCTTTCCAGCCTGTTGTTGAACCCCCCAAATCAAGACTTCTTTTTTTCCACTAAGGTTAGAGCTCTTTAGGAAGCTTCCTGGGAAGGTTTCTTTAAAGAAGGGATGGCTGGTGTGGGTGGTGGGCGGGGAGCCCCCTGGATAACTTTTTCTGGGTCTCCTGTGTTCTCTCTCCAGGTTCTGTCCCCCTTGGCCAACGGCTTATTCCAGAAAGCCATCATGGAGAGTGGGGTGACCATCATTCCATTCTTGAAGGCCCCTGATGAAGAGAGAAATGAGGATGTAGGTATATTGTCAACAGCTCTTTAGTTTCCTCTCCTTGGTCAGGAGAGAATGTGGTCAGGTGTCAATAGATCATGTACATGGCTGTCCTCACCCATCATGGGCAGAGAGCCTGAGCTGGCCCAAGGGGAGGCTTGTCGCTCCGTGGAAGACCTGGTTCAATAGGAAATGGGTCCAGGTACACAACGTGAGACTGCTGGTGGCCACGAGTGTGTGTGTGCGCGTGTGTGACAGTTCTTACATCTCACTCATTATTCTTTCTTACTGATATGTAACTCAGTCCTCTGTATTATATATAGCTCATCTCCTGTACCTGCTCTATTTTATCTAGAGTACCATGATAAGAAAGTTTCTGAGGCTGTTTCCAGCTCAGTGGGAAATAACTGTGACTTATTACTGTTGTCTGGCATGAGATTATGAGGCAGAGATGAGGCATGTGCCCCAGATATTTGTCATCTGTCATCTTGTCTTTGTGCCCTACCAGATAGTGAGACCTGGCCTCTATATCTTTCACGTCGCAGCATAATGTCTGGTGTATATTAAGCAACTATAAACGTTTCCTGAATGAATGAGTTCACAAATGAGCTGATTCATTCAATGAACATTAATTAAACACTGGGCTGTAAGGTCATCTCCTGGGTATTATTCATATGAGTGGTGCTTTTCTTAAACACCTTATAGAAAATAATAACATACACCAGGAGCAGAAACAAAGTTTTAATATTGCAAAAGTACCCTCACCACAGAGGGAAAACTGATTTTGGTAACACGATGCAAGCTACTTTCAGAGTGTGTGTATATTTATTCATTCAGCACACACATATTGAGCGCCCCTTGTTTTCCCAGCTGTATGTTGGGACTGGTGGGTTTACATGTGGAGAAGGCATATACTAACTTGAGAAGATTGTAATGTTTTTGTGAGAAGGATTTTTAACCTGCAACCCATGGATATGATTGGGAGATGGCCCTCTAACTTCTACAATTGCATGCAGACTCTATCTGTTTGTTCGATTTCCCAAGGAGAGGGTCTGGAGCTTTCATTGGATTCTCAGAGCACCCACGAACCTCAGGAACAAGTTCTACACATGTGGGAAGTTCAGTGACAGGGCAAGAAGGTGTTTAGCAGAGGGCTAGGTAGAGACGGTGGGGATCCTGGGGGGACGGGAGGTCAGAGGAGGAAATGATCCATAGTCTGAAAGGACAAACTGGAGAAGGGGGGACTTGGGCCTTAAAGAATGAGTGAAATTGGTGCGGAGACAGATAGAAGACGGTGAGGGCATTCCAGGTGGGGGTGGGGGTGAGGCCTAAGGAGAGCTGACAAGCCCAGACTCTGAGCTGGAGTCATGCCTCAGCAGACAATTCAGGAGCTTGCAAAGCTGCTCCTCAGTCTTGGGGGCTCCTGGCTCCATTTGGCACCCCAGACTTAGGCTTCTGCACTCTTTGGGGCCTAGTGCCGGTGGAGCCAACATCACAGGTCTCTCTGTGACCAGGAACCTTGACTATTCCATGGCCACAGACTGACAAATCCCCACCCTCAGCTCTGGTGACTGATAAAGATGACAAGGAGGGTCAGGCAGGAGAGTAAGGATGATGCGGTGCCACCCTGACCCACTGTGTCCATTCAGTGGTGGTCACATGGGACTGTGGAGAGGCAGGAGGCTGGACCTCCTATTTGAAGGACCAGACTGTGGCTGGCTCGAGGGCTCTTCCTAACTTTCATTTTCCTGGAGGCTGCCGGGGCTGTGTTCTGACTTGGTCCTTCTCTGGAAATAGTTGCAGGTGATTGCGAACATCTGTGGTTGCAGTGCAGCGGACTCGGTGGCCCTGCTGCAGTGCCTGAGGGCAAAGTCTTCCCAAGAACTGCTGAGCATCAACCAGGTGAGCTGGGGGAGAGGGTGTGGGGCAGGGCTGTCCTCTGAGTGACGCGGTAGACAAATCCAACCACTCTCTTGTTTATTTTGACTTGGAAAGATGGGGGCTGGGGATTCATCGTAATGGCTGTAAAAATGTAGACTGTAGAACCCTTAGAGGTAATGTAAGGAACCTAACGGGCCAGGGGGAAGATCCAGCAAAATGCAAATTAAAAAGTTTTCCCTAAGTCACTGAAGGCATCTCATTGGGAAAAGGGGCCACACTTGTACCACATGCCCCCAGAAGCTGAAGTCAAGGTCAAGAGCCGGAAGTCCTGTTGGGATGCCATCGTGGCTCGGTATGACCAAGACTTTTCTAATAACTCAGTGGTTTGAAAAAGGATCTGCTCCTCTGGAAAGCAGTGAGACACCCATCTCTGTGGGTCCAAGCAGGGCCCAGATGACTGCTGACAAATGTCAGTCACTGCATGAGTCATTGAACTGGGTGAATCTTTTATGTCCCTTCCAATCTTCTGATAGTCCTTGGAAAAGCGAGGTCTGTCAGATTCCAACAGCTATTAAATAGTTATTTGGCATAGACTGAAGATCTGCTGTGAGCTCTGCTGGAGCCCAGGAAGTGGTGAACAAGCCCTTGACCCCAGGTAGGGTGAAAGCTCTTATGTGTGCTCTCTTCTACCACCACTCCCTCATATACGCCTAAAAACAAACGAACAGACAGACAAACAAAAAACCACGAAACAGCAGCAACATAAACCATGAACAGAGCCAGGTGTTGCTTCCTGAGACCCAAGAAATATCCAGCCAGATCCAAGGCAGCCTGAGGAGGACATCGCAGGCAGAGGCTCCCACCGGCCCCGCTAGCCTGGCCCTCTGCCTGCTGCAAGTGGCCAGTGGCCCTCACACTTGAACACACATCAGAATCCCCCCTCCCCCACCCCCCAGGGTTTTGTGTTCAGTCGGCTTGGAGTGGGGCCTGAGAATTTGCATGTCTAACAGTTCCCAGGGGACTTTGATGCTGCTGGTCCCAGGCCACGCTTTGAGAACCACTGTGCTGGGCTACTGTTTTTCTTAGGTAGATGCTAGTATTGTCCCCGATTAGCAGAGGAGGAAACCAAGGCACAGAGAAGTTGAGCCCTCTTTGGGATGGGGCCAAGAGTGGCTTCTTTTTCCTTTGTTCGCACGTTTTCCTAGGGTGGCTTGGCTCAGATTGGCTAGGGTTTGGGGACAGCAGATTTTTGTGAACAGAGACAGCTTCCGATTTTTCTCTTCTCATTTCAGAAAACCAAGTCTTTTACTCAAGTGGTTGATGGTTTTTTCCTTCCTGATGAGCCTCTAGCACTACTGACTCAAAAGGCATTTAATCCAATTCCTTCTCTCATCGGAGTCAATAACGACGAGTGTGGCTACGTGCTGCCCTTGGTAAGGATTCCCCTGTGCCTCCTGGGGCTCCCTCAGCAGCGGGGCATTCCCCTAGATGACACCAAGCGTTGTGAGGGCCGGAGCCCATCCGCCAAGTACACAGCAGTCACCTGTCCTCTCCCTGCAGGAGGGTAGCTGAGGACTGGGGTCAGCTGGCGCTCCTTGTTAGGGTTACAGCAAAAGGAACGACTGTCTGAAACACCAAGAAAGGACGGGATCCATTGGCGCTTTGTTCACAACATTACAAATGAGTGTTTCAAATAAGCGCAGTTACCACTTCACAGATGAAATTCATGTAGGTTTGAAACACTTCAGGCTTCACCCTTTCATGTCCAGCCTCTCTTCTGGCATTTGAACTTCCAAAAATGCTCTCTTGGCTGGTGCAAGTTACCAAATCATTGAGTCATGCCATGCGCTCACCAAGAATGAGCTGAGCATTTGACAGTGAGCAAGCCATGTGGTTCTGTATTTGTGCAAGCTTCCATTCTCGAGGGGAGAGAGACATGAAACCTAAAGCTGGAAGGATGGTCCCACGAGCGATCCGTGCTGTGAAGGACGGAAACTGGGCAGAGAAGGCTTTTTTTATGGAGGAGAAAGGGTGGTCAGGAAAGGCTTCTCCGGGGAAGCGGCCCCTGAGCTGAGTGAGGCCTGAATGCTGAGAAGGAGCCATGGTTTCTTAACCTTGTGGTTGGAGAAGACGCTCCACATTCTAAGTAAACTTTTCACCTCGCCTCAAACTCACAGGCCCATCAAAGCTCATTTATACAGACCAACCTCCTCCTTTCAAGCTGGGGAGAATGAGGTTATGAAATACAGAGGTTTGTCAAGTGACGAGGCTGGGTGATGGCCACAAACCCAGCCCCGAACATACAGGCTTAGTCGTAGTTAAAATATACTTACGGACGCCTCGAATGACACTGGGGCTTCCCTCAGATCCCAGGAGACAGATCGATTTAAATATCTGCCCTAGTGATTCTTTACCTCCGAGATTCTCAGCAGAGAACGTACCAGGGAAATTCACTTGACGAGAGAATAGTCTTTCTACCCTCTTGATTTTAAACTGTAATATTGGCCAGGGAAGGGCCATTTAACAAATAATTACTTGTAGCTTTTATTATGTACCAAACAGAGCCTGTGTTCTTGGCCACCTGCCAACTGCTGGCTTCTCAGAGCCTCTGCTTGCAAAGGTCTTTCGAAAGAGAGCAGCAAACCATTGGTTCCGAGATTCTCTGGTCTCTCTTAGAAATTGGTGTCGAAGCCAAATTCTGGCCTGTATTACTCTGTTAGAGCTGCCGTAACAGAGAACCATAGACTGGATGGCTTAAACAATAGGGATTTATTTTCTCACAGTTCTGGTTGCTGAGAAGTTCAAGATCAAGCTGTTAGCCAGTTTGGTTTCTTCCCAGGCCACCCTCCCTGGCCTCAGGTGGCCGCCTTCTCACTGTGTCCTCACATGACCTTTTCTCTGTGTGCCCACATCGCTGGTGTCTCTTTTGAGTGTCCAAACTTCCTCCTCTTATAAGGACATCAGTCAATCGGATTAGGGCGTAACCTAATGTCCTGTTTTAACTCAATCACCTCTTTAAAAACCCTATCTCCACACATAGTCACATTCTGAGGCCCTGGGGTTAAGGCTTCCACATAGGAATTGGTGGGGGGCTGGGGGTGGAGGGCAGCGGGGGAAGGGAGCCCAGCCCAGCCCGTAGCATGGCCTTTCCACAGAGCAGCCCCTCAGGTCCCTTAAGACTATGGCCATGACAGGGAATGGCTGCCTTTTATCAAATGTGAGAAGAAGAAATGTCATTGTTTAGCCAACCCAGTGAGGCTGCCCCGCCATGTGGCCCCTGGGGGCTGAAAGGGCTCCTGCTCTTTGCAGCCTCCCCTTTGGGAATCAGGCGCCTGGGCCCTCAGACACCAGGTCCCTTCTGGTGACCGGATGTGCTCAGCAGGCGCCCTGCCTCTCTCCACAGAAGGAGATTCCTCAGGTCCTCGGGGGCACCAACAAGTCTCTCGCCCTGCACTTGATACACACGATCCTGGTAAGTGAGCCGGGCACCCGTGACTCTCAGAGATTCATTCAACAAGCCTCCCTGGGCCACACTCAGGGGTGGGGTCTGGGGGTATAGATGGTCTTCATTCATTCATTCATTCATTCATTCATTCATTCATTTAATAGATCTTTACTAAGTAGCGTTCCACAGTCCCCATCCACAATTTCATAATCCAAAGAGCCCTGGAAACCCAAAGGTTTTTTGGAACCCACATGGCAACCAAACTTGACCTAGACCGATCTGTAAGCCATCAGTCTTTACTGTTCCCATGCATTCATTCACTTTATATCACTATTCATGTGTTTTTCTGCGGACGTATTAATGGGAGCGGGCTGGAGTGCTGCCCCTCCCCCCAGCATGCTGTGTCATATGCAGCATGCGTACTGAATCACCTATCTACTACCTGAAAAGCTCTGAATTCTGGCGCCCACCTGGAACTAGGGACTCATTCACTACATGCCAGCCAGGCACTGTACTAGGTTCTAGCAATACCAGCGACCATTATGCAACCATTTATCCACTCACTCTCTGGAGAAATACATCTTAGACCCGAGATAGAGGAATGGACTCCTTTCCTTCCTTCCTCCCTTCTTTCCATAAACATTTATTCAGTGTGTAATCGGTGCCAGGTTTGTTTCATTCATTTTTTTTCATTGAACAAATGATTATTGAGAGTGCACATGCCCCAGCACTGCCCTGGGCCCTGCGGTGATAAGCATGCACACCGCCTGCACTGGAAGAGCCGGTAGACTGTTGAGGACGGACATGATGAGGCACCTCAATGCATCGCTACGCAGACCAGGGCAGAGGGGTGTCCAAGACCCCGTGGTGTCCACAGGCGGTCCCTCAGGAAAGGGTTTTGGAGGAAGAGTTGGGTTTGTCTGGCCGATGGAGAAGCAGGGGTGAGCCGGCGGAACCGAGAGGACCCGTTAGGAGCAGAGAAGTGTGAAGAGCCCAGCTGAAGGCACTGGCTGCAGCAGGGGAGGCTGCTTGGGGCTGTTCAGTGCTATGGAAGGGCTATAAAGGTCATCCCAGGGGCTGGGCATGGAAGAGCGCCATGATTCCATATCCATCTGAGAAAGAGCAAAGTGGCTGCCGAGTGGGCCAGACTGGAGGCAGGGGGTCCCTCAGGCCCTAAGGCTTAGAAGGGATGTGGGCCAAGTCTTGGCTGTCTGGTGAGGAGAGTTGAGACTAAGACTTGAGAGATATTTAAAATATGTCAGACAGTGGAATCTCTCAGGCTGGACTGGAGATGGCCTCGAGGAGGAGGAAGTCATTGATCGGAGCCTTAGGGAAGGGGAACATGGGAGCAGGAGGGCATTTCAAGACGAGAGGCCATGTGGAGACAGGTCCCAGGAGAGGGAAGCAAGGTGTGCGGGAAGGTGCAGGAGGACCCGGAGGGCAGTCTCTCCCAGGGCCCAGCCCAGCAGCTGGGCAGATGGTGCTTTTCAAATGGTAAGCTGCTCTCTGACGCAGATGGCATAGCCTTGCCCCAGAACCAGGCACTGTGACTGCCTGTTGGGGCTCTCCAGAGGCTCCACAATGTCTGTGCCCACCTTGGATATCCCAAGCATCAAGGGGTCTGCTGGGCATATGATCCAAGTGGGGGGCACTTGTACCACAGCCCAGCCCTCTGCAGAGACCTCACTTGCTCTGGGCCTGATTAAAAGCAGTCAGCTTTTGCAGGTCCCAATGGATGAGTCTGAGAGGTGCCAGCTGGTGTGGAATATGGTGCCCCCAAATCCCAAAGAAAACTGTGAAGGGCTGTGCCTCTGTCTTAGATTGGGGGTTTGAGGAGCAACAACTCGCCCCAGCATTTCCTGGAGCACCAGACCCCCAAGTGCATCACCAGTGTGGCAGACCCTGAAGCTTCCTAAGTTTCCCTTCCTCCCTCTGGGGCAAGTTGAGGGGTTGAAGGCAGATGACACCCTGGTGCCAGGTCAAACAAAGCTGGGATGCCCATGGACTTGGCCATGGGCCTTGGGGAACCGACAGAGCTGAAGACCTGCTCCAGGCAGCATGCTTTTTTCTTTGCATCTAGGGTAACCCGCTGAACATCCCATTTTATTTATAGATGAGGGAATTCCAAGAGACAAACTAGCTTAGATGGAATCGTAAAGGCCTGGAGGCATCGCTGGTACCAGGAGCAGGTGGGCCTCACAGGTGTGCAACCTGTGCAGTCCCAGAGGGCCTCAGAAGGGTCCTAGCCTACCCTTGGTTGAATGTCCTGTTGTCACCATCTTGAAATTCTTGTAATTTTTGAACAAGAGACCCCACATTTTCACTTGGCACTGGGCCCCGCAAGTGATGTAGCCAGCTTTGCCCAGCGGTGGTTGTTTCTGAAACATTTCAGAATGTGTATTATAATTAAGAGCATGGGATTTAGATGCAAATAGACTTGTGAAAGAATCATGGTTCCACCAGTTCACACAAAGTACTTAACCTCTCTAAACCTCAGTCCCCTCCTCTGTGAAACAGAGCTAATTTTGATCATTACATCACAGGGCGGCTGTGTGGATTCAATGAGACAATGCAGGTAAAGCGCTCAGTACGCCTGCACAGGTGAATGCTTAACGTGTTGGCCGTTGTCATTCACCTGGCTCTCCTGTGACCGTGATTTTTTACAGCACATCCCCACCCAGTATTTACACCTCCTGGCTGATACGTACTTCCGCAACAAGCACTCGCACTTTGAGATACGAAATCGTTTTCTGGACTTGCTTGGAGACGTGTTCTTTGTGGTCCCTGGGTTGGTCACAGCTCGATATCACCGAGGTGAGTCTCTGAGCATCCCCACCCGCTCCTGGCAGCAAGGCTGGTGGCTGCAGGGATCCTGGTCGCCTGCTGACTGACTGGCTGCCTGTCCTGCCTTCTGTCCCCTCACTGAAGGGGACTCCCAAGGGGACCTGGGATATAACCCTGCACGCTGACCTTTGCAGGAATGGCTACCAGTTCTTATTGTTTCTGTTCCTTCTCCTTCTTCAGGACCATGTAGAAAATTCCTACCTCCCCATAACTTTCTGGGGCCAGCCTCCCAGATTACTTTCTGTTTGGAAGTGTCTTCCCAAAACTCTTAACTATAAGGAGGGATGGAGCATTCAGAAAGAGATTACTTTTGGGCACACAAACCCACCCACTCTTCCTCCCTCCCTCCCTCCCTCCCTCCTTCCCCTTCATTTCATACATAGTATCATCTCTAACCACAATGAAATGAAATTAGAAATCAAGAATAAAAGGAAATCTGGAAAATTAACAAATTTTTAGAACTTAACACACTGTTTTTTTTTTAAAAATTGTGGCAAAATCTGTATAACAAAAATTTACCATTTTAACTATTTTTAAATGTACAATTCAGTGGAATTACAGTTTATTCTCATTGTTGTGCAACCACCACCACCATCCATCTCCAGAACCTTTCATTGTCCTAAACTGAAACTCTGTCCCCATTAAACACTAACTCCCTGTTTCTTCTGCCACTATGAATTTGACTATTCTAGGCACTTCATATAAATGGAATCATACACTATTTATTTGTTCTTTTGTACCTGCCTTAATTCACTTAGCATAATGCCTTCACGATTCATTCATGTTGTACCATGTATCAATTTCTTTCCTTTTTAAGGCTGAACAATATTTCATTGTATGTATATAACACATTTTGTTGATCCGTTCAGCCATCGATACACATTTAGGTTGTTCCCACCTTTTGGTTATTGTGAATAATGCTGCCATGAACATTGGTGTGAAAATATCTCTTCAAGCCCCTCTTTCAATTCTTTTGGCTGCATGTCCAGAGGTGAAATTGCTGGATCATATAGTAATTCTACATTTAAAATTTTTGAGGAACTGCCATATTGTTTTCCATAGTGGTTGCAGCATTTTACACTCCCACGAGCAGTGCATAAATGTTTCAATTCCTCTGCATACTCACAAACACTTGTTATTTTGTTTTTATTTATTTTATTTTACAATAGCCATCCTAATGGGTGTGAAGTGGTATCACTGAGGGGATGCTTTGCATCCTCATGATTAGTGATGTTGGCAATGTCGAGCCCCTTTTCATATACCTTTTGGTCATTTGTACGTATTCTCCGAGAAATGTCCATGAGTCCTTTGCTCATTTTGTAATTCAGTTGTTTCTTTTGTTGTTGAGTTTTAGGAGTTCTTTATATATTATAGATATTAATCCCTTACCAAATATATGATTTGCAAATATTTCCTCCCATTCTATGGCCTGCCTTTTTACTTTTTTGATAGTGTGCTTTATACACAAAAGTTTTTAAACAAACTACACACTCTTAAATAATCAATAGGTCAAAGAAGAAATCACAAGGGAAATTAGAAAATACTTTGAGATGAATAAAGGCAAAAATGCAACATACTGAAACTTATTGAATACAGTGAAAGCAGTGCTTGGAAGGAAATTTATTGCTATAAATACATACATTAAGAAGAAGAAAGATCTCAAATCAATAACCTAACCTTTCAAAGAATTAGGAAAAAAGAGAGCAAATTAAACCCAAAGCAAACAGAAGGAAGACTATAATAAAGATTAGAGGAGAGATAAATGAAATAGAGAATAGGAAATCAATAGATAGAATGGATGAATCCAAAAGTTGGTTCTTTGAAAAAAGCAACAAAATTGACAAACTTTTAGTGAGATTAATCAAGAAAGAAAGAATGTACACTCAAATTACTAAATTTAGGAATTAAAGTGGGGACATTACTACAGAAATTACAGAAATAAAAAGGATTATAAGAGAATACTATGAACAATTATATGGCAACACTTAGATAAAATTAGAAAATTTTTAGAAACACACAAACTGTGAAAACCAACTCAAGTGAAATAGAAAATATGAATATACCTATAACAAAAAAAATATTGAATCAGTAAACAGAAACCTACTGACAAAGGAAATCCCAAGACCAGTTGGTTTCACTGGTGAATTCTAGCAAATATTTAAAGAAGAGCTAAAACCAATCCTTCAAAAAAGTGAAAAAGGAGGGAACACTTCTTAACTCATTCTATGAGGCCAGTATTACCCTGGATACTAAAGCCAGATAAAGACATCACTGGAAAATAAAATTACAGACCAATATCCCTTATGAGTATAGATGTAAAAATTCTCAACAAAATACTAGAAAACTGAATCTAGCAACATATTGAAAGGAATATATACACTATGACCTACTAGAATTTATCACAGCAATGCAAGGATGGTTCATCATATGAAAATCAATCAATATAATATACCATATTAATAGAATAAAGGAAAAAATACACAGGTATCTTAATAGATGCAGAAAAGGCATTTGACAAAATCCAACACCCTTTCGCGTTGAAAGCACTCAATAAACTAAGACTAGAGGGAACTTACTCAACCTGATAAAGGGCTTCTATAAATAACTCGTAGCTGATATCTTCCTTACATTTTAAGTCAAAAACTGAAAACTTTACCCCTAAGATCAGGAATAGGATGTCTCCTCTCACCACCTCTATTTAACCTTGTACTAGAAGTTCTAGCTAGGGCAACTGGACAAGAAATTAAAAGGAATCCACATCGGAAAGAAAGAAGCAAAACTGTCTCTATTCACAGATGACATGATATTATACATAGAAGATTCTAAAGAATCCACCCAAACCTATAAAAGCTAATAAACAAACACATTCAGCAAAGTGTCAGGATACAAGATCAATATACAAAAATTGATTGTATTTCCACACACTAGCAATGAATGATCCAAAAATGAAGTTAAGAAAACAACTCCATTTATAATAGCATCAAATAGAATCAAATACTTAGGAATAAATATAACCAAGAAGGTATAAGACTTGTACACTGAAAACTATAACACATTGTTGGAAGACATTAAAGAATAAATAGGAAGATATCTGTGTTCATAGATTGGAAGACTTCATATTGTCAAGATGGCAATAATCCCTACATTCATGCAATCTCTATCAAAACGCCAACTTGCTTTTTTGCAGAAATGGATAAGCTGATCCTGAAATTTATATGGAATTTCAAAGGGCCAAGAATAGCGAAAATAATTTTGAAAAAGAACAAACTTGGAAGATTCATGCTTCCTGATTTCAAAACTAACTCACTACAAAGCGACAGTAATCAAGACAATGCAGTGCTGGCACAGGATGGACAGATAGATCAATGGGATAGAATTGAGAGTCCAGAAATAAACCTATAGACCTATGGCCTATTGCTTTGATAAGGCTGCCAAGACCATTCAGTGGGGAAAGAGTAGTCTTTTCAACAAAGGGTGCTGGGGTAACTGGATGACACATGCAAAAGAATGAAGTTGGACCCTCTCCTTACACTGTATACAAAAATTAATTCAAAATGGTTCCAAGACCTAAGTGTAAGAGCTGCAATTGTAAGCCTCTTAGAAGAAAGCATAGGGGCAAATTTCCATGACATCAGATTTGGCTATGAATATATATAACACCAAAAGCACAATAAAAAAAAGAACAAATAAGTAAATTGGACTTCATCAAAATTAAAAACTATTGTGTATCAAAGGTTAACCTAAAGAAAGTAGATATATAACTCAAAGAATGGGAGAAAACCTTTGCAAATCATATATCTGATAAGGGTCTATTGTTCAGAATTTATAAAGAACTGTTACAACTCAACACCAAAAACCAACCAACTCAATTCAAAAATGAGCAAAGGATTGAACATTTCTCCAAAGAAGATATACATATGGCTAATAAGCACATGAAAAGATGCTCAACATCATTAGTCATTAGGGAAATGCAAATTATAACCACAATGAGACACCACTTCACAGCTACTAGCGTGGCTGTAATAAAAGAACAAACAATAACAAAAGAAAATAACAATGCTATTGAGAATGTGGGGAAACTGGAACCCTCGTAATCTGCTGGTGGAAATGTAAAATGGTACGCCCATTGTGGAAAAGTTTGGCTGTTCCTCAAAATGTTAAACATAGAATTATCATATAACCCGGCAATTTCACTCCTAGGGATATACCCAAGATAATTGAAAACAAAAATGGCACATGAATGTTTAGAGCATCCTTATTCAGAGTAGCCAAAAAGTGGTAACAACCCAAATGTCCATTATCAACTGATGAATGGATAGTCAAAATGTGGTAGGTACCTCCATACAATGGATTATTTGGCCATAACGAGAAATGAGGCAGTAACTCGTGCTACAGTCTGGATGGACCTTGAAAACATTATGCTAAGTGAAAGAAGCCAGACACACAAGGCTACATGTGTGATTCCACTTATATGAAACATCCAAAATAGGCAAATCTGTAGAGTTATAAAGTTTATGGGGGGAGGAAGAGCGAATGGGGAGTGACTGCTTAATTGGTTTGTGGTTTCCATTTGGGGTGCTGAAAGTGTTCTGGGCCTAGCTAGTGGTGATAGATACATAACATCTTGAATGCACTAAAAACCACTGATTTACACACTTTGAAATGGTTAAAATGGTGTATTTTACCTAAAAACAAAGACAACAACAAAAAATAACCCAGTGCTATTAAGAAAATGAAAAGGCAAGCCACAGACTGGGAGAAAATATTTCCAGTACAATTAATTATCTGACCAAAAATTCATATCCAGAATAAAAGAAGCACTCTTACAGTTCAGTAATGCAAAGACAAACAATTCCATTGCAAATGAGTAAAAGGCTTGAAAAGACACTTTGCAAAAAAAGGTATATGAAAGCCAAAAACCATACGAAAAAGAACTCCATGTTTTTAGTCACCAGGGAGATGCAAAGTAA